AATTATTCTGAAATGGTGAAATTTTATAACTCATGTGAGTAAGACAATTTTGGATATTATTTTCCAGATTTTTGTAATACTAATTGAGAGTATTTCAACACATTTAAAGGTGTTTAAACTCTTAAAATCCAAAATATTATCAAACAGTTTTCACAAAATTTCAAACCTTACATTTTCATTCCAAATACAGTAGAGGTCTTCAGAAAATTCCCCTTGAATTTTTTATGCGATTAGCTATTTTTCCAAATTTTAAGCATTTATATCAATATAAATTCGTGAAAAATAGCATTCAGATGATAAAATTCCCAAACTTTTATTAGTGTTGTTGTTAAACATACTTAATCTAGGAAAAATATGAAAATTGATTTCTAAACAGTTTAACCCGATTTTAGAATTTTTGTGCATTTATTCTAACAAAAATGAAGATAAATAGAACACAGTTTCCCAAATTCCCCAAACTTTCTATAATATTGTTATTAAACATACTTAAGCTGGAAAAAAATTTTAAAATGGATTTCTAAATTGTTTAACCCAATTTTATGATTTTTGTGCATTTATTCTAACAAAAACGGAGATAAATAGAAAACAGTTTCCAAAATTCCTCAATCCCTTTTTACCAGTGTTATTAAACATGTAGAAGCTAGGAAAAATATAAAAGTTACTTTTCAATCAGTTTGGCTATTTTTCGTTTTTTTATTCACTTAAATAAGCATTAATTCATGAATAATTATTAAACAGAAGGTAAAATTCACTAAGCTTTATATTTACGATCCATATGTAATATAAAATATTCTGATGAAGTTTCATAATTTTTGGATTAGTGTAGTTATTTTTGTATCAATGTAATCCCTTAACTATTCATAATTACGCTTGTTTGTTTGCTTCTCCTTCTTCTTCTCTTAGGTAGTGTTCCAATTTTTCTTTTAAATTGGAATACGTTTGGGGTTTCTTCCCCATGATCTTCTGGGACAGTGGTCCTGGGAGGAGGCCCCATGTGAAGGCTCATGCTATTAATCCTTCATCGTGCCCTGGGACGTCTAATGTAGCATTAGTGAACCTAGGGAAGTACTCCCGTGTGACAACTGTCAAATTCAGGTCATTCTCGGACTTATACATCTTTTCATAAACCATATATACACATCATGTTATGGCCTAGTAGTAGAAATTAGGTCACAATCTTGTAGAAACCTGGATCCAACTAAAATCTAGGACTAATATACTTGACTTTTACAATTGAACTAGAACAAAATACAAATATTGGTATAATTAAAAAAAGGGTATAAAACCCTAAAATTAATTAAAATCTTCTAATTTCACTTCATTATATTGTTAAATAGCGAACAAGGTCCCAAAATCCTAAAAGGCCCTAAAAACCTAAATTTTATAAAATTTAACACCTAATATCAATTTAAAGTAACTAAAATTAGGAAACATAATCAAGGAAAGAAAAATTTAATTATCAACACTTAACCCTAATCTACAAGTTAAATGTCAAGATTTATGAAAAGGAAACTAGGCTAATGCATAGTTTATAAAAATATGGAAAATTTATAAAAAAATAAGAAGGGATTTTATCTAAAAGAATCAAGTGAGAGGGAGACCCTCTAAGGTCCTCAAAAACTCGGCCTCCCCTCTCCCACGACACCCTTCTCTTTCCCAATACCCCTAATCATTTTTACCTCTCTTGCACTCCAACTTCGTTCTCACTCTCTCACATTATCTATCACTTCCACCACCCATTTTCTCTCAAACCCCTCTCTAACTCACGAAAATCAATAGCCAAGAAGATCTTTCCACATCAAAAATCATCTTCTTCAGGTGTTCTTCTTAAGGTAATCATGAAAACCAAGCATTATCCTTTCATTTCTACTCATAATTTCACCATTTTATGCATTTCTTTCTACTTCTACTCCATTCTATGAAACGATTTTGAACCACATACCATATCCATGATTTTGATGATGATGGTGGTAGGTTTTCACACAAAAACAACATGCATGTTGCAATTGGTGGAATCCCATGGTCCAAACCTATGTCAAAATCAAGATAAACCACTTTTATACAAGTTTTGGTGGAGAAATCATAAAATTAACCAATGTTTTCTTTCAAAAACGATTTTTTTTTTTACTTTTCAAACTCATGCATGGCCTTAAACCAGCATGCATGTGTTGATCTTCAAGCCTAAGATGCTTGATGGTCAAAGTATGTTGTTAAAATGTTCAAACTCATGCACGAAGTGATTTAAATCCACCAAACTATCTAAAACTCATATTTAACATGAATCAGATTTTTCCCTGAATCTTACCAAGAAAATGAGAAGTTGTGGAAGTTTTCGGAAAATAATTTATTTTTCTCGAATTAATATAATTATTTCAAGAAAATAGAGCAAAAACTCATATAAAAGACTTTTTACAGCCAATAAATTCTGATAAAATTTGGAAACGACCCATACACTGATTAAAGACATTGTATGAAGTTGCATGAACTTATGGGGTTGTTTTGTGTTGATTTAGAATTTGTTTTTTTAAAGAGAAATAAATAGTAAAATATAGTTATGAAGGACCACAACCATATTTGATAATTTTCGCATCTTCTGGACATCATCAAGAATCCAAGAAAAAACTTACAAATTTTTCCATGACAATTTCGTATTTTTCCCGATTTAATGAATTGTTAAGGGATTACATTGATACAAAAATAACTACACTAATCCAAAAATTATGAAACTTCATCAGAATATTTTATATTACATATGGATCGTAAATATAAAGCTTAGTGAATTTTACCTTCTGTTTAATAATTATTCATGAATTAATGCTTATTTAAGTGAATAAAAAAACAAAAAATAGCCAAACTGATTGAAAAGTAACTTTTATATTTTTCCTAGCTTCTACATGTTTAATAACACTGGTAAAAAGGGATTGGGGAATTTTGGAAACTGTTTTCTATTTATCTCCGTTTTTGTTAGAATAAATGCACAAAAATCATAAAATTGGGTTAAACAATTTAGAAATCCATTTTAAAATTTTTTTCCAGCTTAAGTATGTTTAATAACAATATTATAGAAAGTTTGGGGAATTTGGGAAACTGTGTTCTATTTATCTTCATTTTTGTTAGAATAAATGCACAAAAATTCTAAAATCGGGTTAAACTGTTTAGAAATCAATTTTCATATTTTTCCTAGATTAAGTATGTTTAACAACAGCACTAATAAAAGTTTGGGAATTTTATCATCTGAATGCTATTTTTCACGAATTTATATTGATATAAAGGCTTAAAATTTGGAAAAATAGCTAATCGCATAAAAAATTCAAGGGGAATTTTCTGAAGACCTCTACTGTATTTGGAATGAAAATGTAAGGTTTGAAATTTTGTGAAAACTGTTTGATAATATTTTGGATTTTAAGAGTTTAAACACCTTTAAATGTGTTGAAATACTCTCAATTAGTATTACAAAAATCTGGAAAATAATATCCAAAATTGTCTTACTCACATGAGTTATAAAATTTCACCATTTCAGAATAATTGTTACTAATTAATATAAAACCAATATTAGAATAAAAATTAGACATTTTTCTATATGTAGAATTTAGTATATTTTTGGTTTTATGTTTTGGGGTGGAAAAGCATTTTTCTATATGTAGAATTTACTAATTCATGCATCCCCATATTTTTGGTTTTATGTTTTGGGGTGGAAAAGCATGTCCGAAAAACTATTTATTGTTTGTTGTATTTAATTTGATTTGTATCAAACTTGATTGCTATATATTTCTATGTATGTTTATGCAACTTGAAACATGAGGCCTTATCGTCTTAAGTCCCCTCCACTTTACTCCAACCATTAACTCTTTGAGCCAATGATAATTATGGATAATGCTATTAGGAAATGACAACTCCTCACTCTCCCGATTGCTTGAGTGCATGATACCATATTCATCTATGGAACGATAAGCATAGATCTTGATAGGTCATCAGTCATAGGCTTGGTTGTGAACTCATTGTTTGCTCATATGTATACAAACTTGTTTATTAATTATAGCAATGAACTTTGTTTCTCATTATAGCAATGTACTTGTATTTATGGAAACTTTTATACTAAATCTTGATATAGTAAACTTGTGAACTCACCAACTATTTTCATAGTTGACCCTTGTTTTGCATGCTTTTTCAGGAAATAATTAGTAAGTGGATATAAAGATTCATCATCATAGAGCATGTTGCATCGTGTGGAAGTTATTTGATGAAGTTAACTTTTGAACAATGTCATTTTGGGAAACTTGTATTTTGTTTTGTTAAATTATGGGTTGTAAAATTTTAACTACTACTATGGTGATGTATCTTTATCTTTTGCAATGGAACCTTTATCGCTTCCATATCTTGCATTTCCGCTTTAGCGGGGTGTGACATCCCACACTGTCTCTCCTTCCTTGTGCTTGCAACCAATGAACGAGTGTGAATCTCCTTTGTACTTACGTAGTTGCATGAAATTCGTCAGGAAAAGATAATTTAGGTGGCCAAAATTGTAAATTCTCCAAGGGCGTTGTGTTTTGAACCATGTTCCCGCATTGCCGTCTAAGGTCGTTGGAAAATACATACACCAGAATCGCTCATCTAACTTTAATAAGGTCATCTTCCTTTTGTATGTGTCGATGTGACTATCTGGATCTGTGGTTCCATTATTGGTGTTAAGGTGTGGTAACTTTGTTGTATTTGGGATTTCATAGTCTGGAAGTTCCTTAACGAACGGAGATGTCAAACTTTTTGACAAACAATCTTGGTTTGCCACCGGGAAGACGCCTTGGGGGTTGAACTGTTGAGCGGTGAGGTATGGCTGTACCAGCATGTCTTTGTATGTTGAGAGGTGCACTAGTGCTGGGCCATAAAAGCTTTGTTGTTGGAATGGGAAAATCGGTGGTCGGGTCGCTAGGAGTGGCGGGTTTGGCACGAACAGGTGGTTTGATGTGAACAACGAGTGTTGTGGGATCGTTGTTGAGAATGGTATGCTTGTTGTGAATGATGATGTTTGGAAGGCCACCGTTTGTTCTCTTGTCATCAGGTTTATCGGAGGTGCTTATGAAAAGTCAAGCATACCGCTAGCATTGTCCACCATTGGTGGTGTCGTGCTACTTGAGACCGTTGTCAGTTGTTGGCTATGTGATGAGGCATTTTGCGTCGACGCAGTGGCAGAGGACATCGACCCTTCAATGACTGGCCTCCATAGTTGGCTCATCGTAGCAGTGGTTATTGCTGAGCCACCTTGTTGTGGTGCTTCACCGGCAACCGTTGTTGGCTTCTGAGGTGTGGAGGTGGGAGTGGTGATTGGTTCCAACGACATCATGGATTTGATGGGGGGCTCAACGGTGTTCTACTAGCTCCATCGCTGTTTTCGGTTGTCATCTTCGGATGTAGGGAGGTGTACTTTTTGTTTGTTTGTCGTCACACAACGGATGGCGCTAAATGATGTGACCTCATCTCCCGACGATTCTCTTGCAATACTTATCATAATTATCATGCTCCCACTAACATGATGATTATTAGCATAACACTTATGCTCCCACTAGCTTTGACATGTATCCAGAAAACAGCTGGACCTCTAGAAGTCAATACTTTATTGACATTCTTACTAAAGTTCAGATTTCTGATACTAGATTGCTTTGATAAGGCTTTATCAAAATTATACACCTTATCTTAGATAGCTCACAGGTGTGTCTAAACAATTTCAGAACTATGAAAAGGGATGCCGTAATCATAGTCTCAATTATTTAGACCTTTGCTATTTCTCATAAGTCCATGTTAGTGTGTCGGTTAACCACGCACGCTCCACTAACGACTTTGAGAACTGCAAATATCACAATTGCTATCTACTTAAAATCTACTTAGTGAAAGAATTTCCTCACCATCAATTTCATGAATCGGAGAGAAACCTTATGACACTTAGATTTTATGGTGTATGTGTTCTTATCCATGTGAATTTGTCAAACCATAATCACAAGACTAGGTTAGTGAAAAATCCTAACTCATATGGATTGAACTTGTGCAATCTTAACCTCTTGCCACCTAGCAGCACAAGGGCCTACCATTGCTTCCAAGTAGCTATGCAAACAATTGAGAACATGTAGAACTCAAATATATATAGCCAACTTAACTGGAATGGGAACAGAAATGTCAACACGATAGGTTATAAACCTCTAGTTGTGTGCTAGTGATGAAATACAGGTTTTATTCTTGATTACTTCTTGAAACCCTTTCAGGATCTTTTAGACTCCCACTGTCTCCTTGACCTATAATACTTTCTTTCCAAATATTCAAGAGATAGTGTGGATTCTAATCAAGACAAACACTTAACACAATTGGCCTAAGTTGGTCTCTGTTTTATCCAAAACATCACAACTTACCAAATTCAAATGTACAAGAGTAGAAAACCTTTTACTCTTACATTTCACTAGTGTTAATAAACCTTCTTTAAGATGTATCACTCAAGTTACATTTGTGGTGGGCTTGATCAGTGCACAAGAATGTGTACTCGATCCCTTAGTCATTTACTTGACTCACACATCCATGTGAACAAGTAATTAGTCTTAATTTTCCAATGCTTGAAAGTTCTCATTCATCATACTATACAACTTGCATGATTCGAAGTTTCTGTCCAACTGAAACTTGGGTGATGAGAATCTTTCCTTATTTGGAAAGTTTAGACGCTACCACAAATGAAAGAATCAAATTCATATTTCCACTCTTGCTATTAATAGAATCATATAAGCAACAATTTTTTTTCCTTTTCACAAATGCCATTGTAAGGATATTTTTAAAATAAACAAAAACAAATTTTTTTTCTTTTATTTTAAAAACTTTGCGGAAAAACTATCCTTATAGTGCAAAAGCACATGAAAAACTTTGTTGTTATCTATTCCTAAGCAAATATCATAACTCCTAAGCAACAGCTCAAAATTCTGATGACAGAACCATGCGATCGAGATCCATCTTCGCGATCAGAATCAGCATATACTTTCTTTAAGTTTCTTCACTTTTCTTTGATTCTTAAAACATCAACATGTGACCCAGTCACATCATGTAACAAGAATCTCAAAATAGAAACTTAACAGAGTTAGATAGTGGACTTTACCTGAAGTAGAGTCAATCTTCTTGACTTGATCAACCTTATGATCTTTCAGGTAAATAGGCTGCTTCGCAATCAATGCCCCTTCCTTTGGCAAGAGAAACATAGGGACTCTTTGGGAATGGTACATGGGACTATCGCAGACTTAGCATTTCGCTTTACCATTTTGTCAACCTAGTTGACTATGGTCAATCCCTTTCCTTGGGAAGAGAAGGCTTTTCTAGATATCCAATGTTACCATTGTCAATGTCCATGGTAGTTTGGGAAGTTGATCTACTAATCAAATTTGCTCTCCCAGTGCTCCAAATTATTGCTGATTAAGCAGCACCAAGCAAATAGATAAGATCATTAAGGGTCATGTCATAGTCTGTTTCATAGTAGTCCCAAAGGAATTCACTATGTGACTTAGAAAGTGATTGAACCACGAACTTTCTCAAGAGTTTGACACCCAACTCTCCCGGCTTGTCAATATGTGACTTCATCTCCAAGATGCGATCACATATAGACCTTGCTTGCCAATAGGGCTTGAGTGACCTTGAACTTGTGGGTTAGGGAGAATAATTGGAGGAGGTGGAGGAAGTGAAGTTCCAAGAGATTTAGGAGGATCATAGATGTCTGAAACAGACATCTTTTTGGGAGATATTCAAGATACTTGATCTAAAGTCCTTAATATAACACCCAATATGAAATATTAAGGCTAGGACCCAACAAACTATTTTATAACTTGGAAGAGGGATGCCGTAATCCAAGCTATAAAATATTTGAAGGTAGGTGAATGACGATTCACCAATTTCCACCAAGATAAATGAAATGTATTATTAGGTTTTAATTGGTTTTGAAACTCCTAGATTCTTTTGAGATTCATTGAACTTTTCAAAGGCATGTTTCAATCTCGAGTGTGCCCTTCAGGTTTTGTGACTGGGATGCCGAGGATCACAAAACAAGGTGTGAATAACCATGCAAATATACTTGGTACCCTTAATATTTACCCCTCAATCGATGTGCCGGTTAACCACACACGCTCCACCGATACTATGATAAACATTAAGTTACCCTTTGCCCACCTTGTTAAATCAAGCTAGTGTGCCGGTTAACCGCACACGCTCCACTAACTGATTTAAGCAAAGTTCAAAGTGTAATTTCATGGGTTAGCACCAAATTCACATTTTCCTAAGTAACTAAGATTGGGTATTATTAAGAGTTTAGTTACTTAGTATTTATCATTATACTTTTAATGAAGGGAGAATTATAGTCCTTGTCCTACCCGTTCGGCTAACGACCCTCCACCGGTCAAGGAAGCGGTGGGTGAGAGTGGACACCCATTAAACTGCCATTTTATAGGCAGTAACCTTATACCCCCCTTATAGACCGGCTTCGTGAATGAGGCCTACTAATGGTAAGACGACTTTACTCTTATACATATATATATATATATATATATATATATATATATATATATATATATTATATATATATATATATAAATATTATTAACTTATAATATTATAAAGTATAAGGGTTGAATTTTAACTTTTAAAATTCTAAGGGCTTAACTTGGAATTAAAGGATTCATAAGTGAAAACTTTACAAATTCCAAAACTTGAGGGCAAGTTATGGAGACTCTTCAAAACTTTTCATTTCATAACTTATGAGTTTAATGGTTCATTAAAATGAAGACTCTTTATTTTTTATGTAACCTCTTATTCTTTAATAACACTTTTAAAGAAGTGACCCTTAAACATCCATAACTTGAGGACAAGTTATGGAGTCATAATACTATTTAATAAAAAAGACTCTTCATTTTTTTTATGTAACCTATGACACTTTTATGAGTTTTAAGATTCATAAATGTGACCTTTTATGTAACTTGAGGACAAGTTACAAAAACACATTTTATGAACTACCTCTAGATTAATTAGGATTGAAAACAACTAAAACACAAATTTTTTTTTCCATTAATCTAAACTAACTCATAAATCAAGGAAACATAAACACTTTTGGTAATCCATAACTTATGGAGTTAAATGCTTGTTTTATGATAAAACTTTTCATGTTCCATAACTTAAGAATAAGTTATGGAATTCTTTAAAACATTAACACCAAATTTTGTAACTCCATAAAAACTTTGAATCAATTTTTTTAAAACCTTTTCATATCCATAACTTATGGAGGTTTCAAAACACTTAAGATCACAACTTAAAAAAACTTTTGAGCTCCAAAATTTTATGATAAAATTTGTAACTCCTTAAAACATTTAGATCAAACTTTTAAAACTAATAAAATAATCATATCATTTTATCTTTTACTAAATTTGACATACTTCAACTCATATAGCAAATGATTCAAATTTTACAAATAATTAGTTTTTCACAAAACAAGTAATTATCTTAAAATTTGACAAACTTCATGTTTTTTTTCATTTTTTTTCAACTTTGAAAATCAAACATTTGCATGAATATAACAGAAAACAACCCATGGCTCTGACACCACTGTTGGGTTTGAGCATTCTAACACCCCTAAGTGTACATGCAACCCTAAATACCTTGGCTCTATGTTTTCTCTATTATACATGCAAATATGAATACTCCAAGGTATTACCCTATCTAGCATACAATCCTTGATACTTGGGTAATATAACAAGTTAGAATACATACCTTTTAATGAAGCTTGAATTCTTGAACTTTAACAGCTTAGCCCCAATAGTATGGAAGCCTCAAGTGGAATCACAAATCATCAAAACACCTTGGAAGACTTTAGAGAATATGGATACTTGGCTCACACTATGAAATCGGTTATTGCCCTCTTTAGTGTATCCACACTAGCCACTAGCATAATTTCATGAACCATAAGACCCTTTATATAGTGTGGAGGATTAGGGTTAAACCCTAATACCCATGACCTTTCATTTCCTAGGATCCATGGGTTAAAGATCCATGGACTATCCATGAAGACTTAGCCCAACCTAAATGAACTTGGCCCACTACACACACATATATATATATATATATATATATATATATTATTATATATATATATATATATATATATATATATATATATCTAAGAGTCCATATTTAATTAGTTCCTTTTGATCACTTAATTAATTATAAATTAATTCTTGATCAATACTAATTAAATAATATGATTATATATTAATATATTAGAACTTATAATATATTA